CCATGTTATACTGTTTTTTTGTAAATAGGTTCTTTTTTGAAATTTGCTCCAGGGATTAAAAATCGCAATTTTTATGAATTGTGTCAAACATATAGCATCCTTTTTTGCTCTTTACCTTTTGTTTAGTAAATAGACTTTACAAATAAGTCAAATTTGTTTTGCTTCTGTCTCTTTCTTTGCCTGAACTTCGTTATCCTTAATTTATGGACATGAGTGTACATTAGAAGTGAAACAACTGCATATTGATGTAAATTTCTGTCACATGGTTTAGGGAGGATTATTTGAACTATTCGATATGAATTACACAAAAATAACCAGAAACACACACACACAAAACTTTTCTCTACTCATTATCTCTTTTATTAACAAAAAACCTTAGACTAGTTACAAAATTTTTCAAGAAATCCCACGTTTCTTTCAACCACAAAAAAACAGCTGAATGACAAGTTAAAATCCACTATAGTGACTGTGACATTTATTTTTTGACAGCTACGTTTCTTATTATGTTACACTGGTGTGCAAAACTTAAGCAACAGGTGGGTATATTGCCATAACTTCGCAAAAAATCATCTGAGAGACATGAAATTCAGAAATGAGGGAGAGTATTATGTACGTAAAGGATGACGAACGCATCGGCGCGGAAAAAGGAATATAATGCATACGGTATGGAATCAAGCAAAAACAAGCTTTATTGAACGCATAGTATCGTGATTCATGATGGTCTATCCAACAGAAAAAACAACAAGCAGATGTTCCTTAATATGGTATATGCCCTCCCCTCACTGCAATGGTTGCTTCGCACCGTCTTCGCATACTCAGAACCAGCTGGTGCAACATTTCTTGCGGTAGGAGTACCCATTCTTCAATCAGCATCTGTTTGAGTTGTTGGGTGTTCTCCGGATGATGTAAGCGTGCTGCAATACGTCTCCCCAAAGCATCCCACACATGTTCCATTCAATTTAAATCTGGGAAGTACGCTGGCCAATCCATTCCAGTGATATCTTCACTTTCCAGCAGCTCCTCAACAGCAAGAGTCCAATGTGGTCGTGCATTGTCATCCATAAAAATGAAGTCTGGGCCAATGGCACCTCGGAACAGACGCACATAGGGAAGAAGTACCTCCTCGCAATAGCGATCCCCGATTACAGACCCTCTATCGAAAATGTGGAGCTCAGTTCGCCCGTTCAGCATAATACCTCCCCAGACAAGAACTCCAGGACCACCGTAATGGTGTCTTTCCTTGATGTTACTGGTATAAAACCGTGTCCCGATCTCTCTGCAAATCAAAACGCGTTGAGAATCACTTCTGGTACTGAACCAACTCTCGTCCGTAAAGAGGACACGACTCCATTGACAGTTGTCCAGTTTTTGTGCTCTCTGGCCCACTGTAAACGGTGTTGTCGGTGGTTAACTTTCAACGGGAGGCAGCGTTCAGGACAGCGGGCGAATAGGCCCCCTTTGTGAAGGCGTCTGGCCACAGTAAACCGCGACACTTGTCGCCCGTTGCTGTAGAGAGTTGCTGAGCAATGACGCTTGCTGACTGCCGTTGGCCTCTTTTCGCCTGCAGGATGATATATCGGTCATCCCCTGCAGTTGTCGTCCTCGGGCGGCTACCCCCAACCTTTCTAACAGCTGTACCTGTGGTTTGGAACGCTTTCCAAGCGCGCGAAACGACACTTTTGTTGATTCCGAATTCTGCAGCTACACTGGTGACGGTACGCCCCTCCTCCAGCTTTCCGGTCATTGTTCCACGTGTGAAGTCGTCCAGGTGATTTCTTCTAGCCATATTTCACGAACTGACTCACTGGCCCTTGCAGCGAATATGTTGAATTGCGTCTGCGTCCTTCATTTTATTCTACTGTCGAACAGCACGCGCCGACATCACGCGTTTTGCGTACGCTCACGTCGCTTCTGACGTTTCGTTCCTGATATTTGCATACGCATGACCTTTCTACTGACTTACGTGTTCACTGTACTGATCTCCAGACCTCTCTCCTTTTCTGCAATTTCATGGTTATCTGCTTAATTTTTACATTGTTGCTTAAGTTTTGCACACCAGTGTATATTCATGAAAAAAGTTGCCATCTACAACCAATTTACAATACACCTGCGCTGAGTACTATTTTTTCTTCAATAAATGTTCTGATAAAATTTCCATCATCATGCAAAGTGTTAAATATTAAATGTTATTTGAATTTCAAACTCCACAACTGTGTATATTTATGCTAAACGTTACATAATTGTTTTTAAAATATAGTATTATCCGAGAAACTAGTCTTCTCTCTCTCTCTGCCTCTCTTTTATATATATATATATATATATATATATATATATATATATATATATATATATATATATATATATATATATATATATATATATATATATGCAAAAGAAAAGCAACTTATATTCACTCACTCTTAACGAAATCTATAGGACCATCTCTAGGTCCCCTTCAAAATTGAAACTTGGAAAACATGTTTCTTTTGTCGAATAGAGCTTCGCTAAGAAAGAGTTTTGTGAAAATCGACTGTCAAACAGGGTAATTACAGGAAAATTCCCTTTTTTAAACTATTATACCTACAGACTTGAAATTCGGTGAGCGTGTTCCTTTTGCCTGATTAAAGATCGGTGAAGTGTGGGTTTAGTGGAAATTGATTCCTATGAGGGTTCTAAGGTTATTATTGATTCTGTTTCTCAACCTGTACATCCACAGACTTACAACTCGATAAACATGTTCCATTTATTCAATTCCTATTATTAGTTCATTCACTCCCTATGTATATACATATATATCTTGTTCAAATTTTCAATCGTTAATAAAATATTTTCTATTCATCCATTCAAGTTCAAATACATTTTTTTAGGGGATGACACTTGATATTAGTACAGTTTTTTTTAAATATTAATTCAATAAAATCCAAATAAAAATGAATTAGTAACAAACAAAAACTAAAGTCCAACAGCATATATCAGTGCTTCTCAAACTGTGGGGCGCGCCCCCTGGGGGGCGCGAGCATATCGAAAATAAAAAAGATTTAAAAATAATTAGTTTACTGGAATGAATTAAAGCAAAATACAAATACTTTCAGACATAATAAAAATGCACTTTTACTCTGATATAATTTATAGGCGATATTAAGCCATCAAAAATAAAAACTTCTTCAATACCTAATTAGCTATCTTTGATCCTATAACCAAATAAAAAACTTTTATTTGATTTGCTGTCATCCCGTGATGAGAGATTTTTTTATTACGCTTTTTTTTAACCTAACATACTACTTTTTCAGAGTAAAACCAGATCCCGGACCCAGAATCGAAAAACTTTAGGAACATAAAGAATTTCATCACTGTCATTATTTTTGAAATACTGCACATTATAGCTGTAATCTGTTTGACCTTTTAAGTTATTGGTACAGTTAGTTATGACCCCTCTCTTACGTGTTCTCTGTTGCGCTTTTTTTTCATGCAAAAGAGTTTTATGATATTTGGAAAACCACGAAGAGCACACACACAAGCACATGAAGGATTACTTGGCCAAGACATATTTTTATAAATATTCTCAATGTATAAAGCATAACGAAAACGTTTCACACAATTTTTTAGCAGTAACATACATATTATCATAATGAATATACTTTTTTACCCGGAAGTGGTCGCGCGGGACACATAGATTACGAAATCGTTAATTCTGGCAAAACTGTTTATTTATTACCAAAGAAAAATTGAAAAGTCCTTGAAAGTAGGTAAGTAAACTTTCTCATAGCTAAATTATTCACTGGAATCATGATTTGTATCGTGTACAAAAAAATAATTATAAAAAAAAAAAGGATTGGGGTGACTCAATAACCCCGACCGTACCGAGTGCGCGCCTACTCCCGGGTTAAAACATGTTGAAGTCTTTTCACTTTAAATATTAAAAATAATATAATTATTCTTCATCTCGATATTTTATATTATTGATCATTATTTAACATAACATCGGTGGCGCACACAAGGGGTCCGGACCCCCCAAAGCCCTTGATTTTTTACCGATTAATTATAATTCTAAGTTTATAGTACGCAAAATTTAATTAAGTATTTGTTATTAATGATTAATTTTATTAATTAATGCTAATTATTTATTCGAGAATTAGTTTTTTACTGTGTTTTGTTCCCGAAAATCGACAAAACCAAAAGGAACCTGATATAAGATTGGTGAACTTTCGACCCCGGAACCCCCCCCCCCCTTCAAAAATTCCTGTGTGCACTACTGTTTAACATCAATTATAAATGCTAATTCTGTGAGGCTTAAAATTACAATTCGTTTAAAACTAATTATAATTTGAGCAACCATTTAAAAAAAAAAAAAAATCATTTTACGTTTTTGTAAACATTGTCGAGCATTTGGCTTTGCTTCCCTTACAATTCAGCTGTTATATCAATAATGTTTTATTTTCTTACAAATGGACTCGAGCAAAGAGCGGGCACTTCAGCCGGTATACTTTTAATGTATCAGTGCTGCACAGAATATTTTATAACTAATTAATTAATACTAAATTAAGAAAAAGTTTAATAAGTATTAATGACGTCCATGAGCTTGTCTTGGAAAGCAAAGTTTTTATAAGGAATGCTTATTATTAGAAATTGACCCTCTGAGTTCTTTTTCTATATTTAGCAGATATCTATATTTTGTCTTCTAAGCAGCTACCGCATTTTGTAATATGTTCAATTTAAAAATTGGAGAAAGGAAAAATAACATAATAATTATCCTATTATTTTATTTATTTATTTATTTTGCTTAAAAGTAGTATACAAAATTTAATACGTATGTTACTAATTTGTATGGTTTATAATTAAGATCGCCTATTGTAACTTTAGCGTCAAAGTGCATTATTATTGCATTCAGTACATTATTAATGTATAAGGGGGCGCGAAAAAAATTGTCATCGAAAAGGGGTGCGCCAGTATTGAAAGTTTGAGAAGCACTGGCATATATAGGAAGAAAAACCATTCGTTGTGTTCCTGTAGCGCAGTGGGTAGCGCTTTGAACTTCTAATCCAAAGGTCGTGGGTTCGAAATCCCACCTGGGATGGCCTAATTTCTGAGGATGTGATTTCTTTTTATTATACTGTTTATTGGAATATTCAATTCAATTAATGAATAAATAGTAACAAACAAAAAAGTAGTCCAACACCTTATATACAAAGGAAAATGGAAAATCGCTTTCCATTTAGGGTGATTACAAATGCGTTATAGATTGCAAAAATTTTCATTTCGAAACAATTAGACCTTAAGACTTAGAATTTTACAAGCAAGTCTCTTTTATTGAGTACAGTTCTACTAAAATGGTGTTTGATGGATCTATGGCGGGAGGAATAAAAGAAATATATACTCTTGTCTTGGAAACTTAACTCCCGTCCTTTTCAAATCAAGATATGAGGGCTATAAGAATATTTTCATTACAGTCGAAGGCCTAATGCTTGGACATAGATAACAATAACCTAAAAAGAATGTAAAATTTTACAACCTCTTTAAGGTATCCGACTACGTTCGGAACCGTGATTTTAAAAAAAAAGCACATAATTGGATAATTTTCATAATATTTAGTGTCAATTAGATTAGAATACTCGTATAAAATTGTTTTAAGGACATTTTGACAAAAAAAATTATTTATATACAATATTTCGGCAAAAAATTAACTTAGAATAACCTTTTTCAAAATGTTCTCCTTTTGTGAAAAATGCTTCTATTGTAGTAATATTTTGCCTTATATAGCTCAGACCTCTGTACAGAGGCTCAACTATGATTTTTGAAAAATTCACATTATTTTCAGAGTTACAACCCATTGAAATAATTATCGGCGTTTTTTCTTAAAATTTCTCCTCTCTGTTGTCGTAAAACATGGATAAACCCACTTCTAAGTTATATATTTCAAAAGAGTTCTAGGTGAACCTCTGTACAGAGGTCTGAGCTATATGCAGGCAAAATATTATTATAATAGAAGCCTTTTTTCTATGTTAATTTTTTGTCAAAATATTGTACAATATAAATTTTTTTATTGTAATACTATTCTTAAAACAATTTTCTATACATTTTCTAATGTAAGTGACACTAAATATCATAAATATTATCCATTTATATGCTTTTGCAAAATCACTGTTCCGAACGTAGTCGCATACCTTAAGTGTTCAGCGAAGCTGTCGGATAACGGGTAGTTAAGCATAAAATAAAAATTGGATGCATTAGAGTGAACTAATAAGACCTCGTTTCTTTCTTTTAGCTACGCCGCTGCGGACGCCAGCTTCAGGTCAATGAAGGACCGCAACTTAGACCAAAGTGTTATCATCACGGGTGAAAGTGGAGCGGGAAAAACAGGTAAGATCCTGTTTCCTTTCTCTCTTTCCAGGAGTTGCTTTTAATAAATTATTGTTTTACTCAATACAATTATAAATATTTATTGATTAGATCTTTCAACAACATTTAAAAAACGAAATTTTTAAAATATTTTGACTGTTTTCATAGAACTGCGAAGAGAAATATGAATTTCCTTATGATGTTTGATAGAATAAGTGAGCAAAACTTTAAATACTTACTATTTTACTTATGATTGTATCATAAAGATGTGATATATTTTATACAATGCCTGTTACATTAAAGTAAATGCATATTTAAGAGCTTATTCAGTTACACCAGTCGAGAACTATTTGAGAAATTATATAAAGATTGTTTATCTCTCTCTCTATTTTAATATCTTGTGTATCCGAAAAAATTGTCAGTTTAATATGTATGACATTTTTATATGGCATGCCACAGTTATATAATCCTAATTTTAAAGAATCTGATTAATCTTAAATGCGTTTTGTTGCTGAAAAAAACGCCTACAATTGAGTAATGTTGTAGTTTCAAAATAAATAACTCACACACACATACACAGTAAGGGTCAATGATTTAATTTTTAATGATATTCAAAGCAATACTTTAGACGTTACGATGTATTAATTATGAACTAATCAACAAGAAAACTATTCCTTTTACGAAGAAACGGGGTAACTACCTAATATACTAAAAAGTTAATGTAATAATAATATTATGCAGTATATAATAATAATGTTACAATATAATTTAATAGGAATTATATATAATATTCAAATAGTATTTAATAATAATTATTATGTATAATAATTATATAATATGATTTAATAGTAATTATAAAATAAGTACCAAATCATTGTTTTGTAATATAAATATTATTCATAAGAATACTTATGTAACGCAATAATTATAAATAAATAGCATAATAATTATAAATGAATAACAAAATAATAATTATAAATAAAGAACATAATAATTATAAATAAATTCCATAATACGTAATAATATTTATAAATAAATATAATAAAAAACAATTATTGTAAATAACGAATATTATATGATTATTACATATAATAATAATTATATTTTTATATTATCTTACTAATAAAATAATTACATAATATATATTAACAGTAATGATGAATATCCATTAACAAGTACTGGAAACTTGCAATATTCCAAAAACTGCAAAAATATCAAAGTAACCATATTGTAATGTTATCGCCCATTTTGGCGAACATAAACAACAATGTGGCACGTGCCCTGTGATATCAAACTAGTTCCATGTTAATTTACATGTATTACGTTACTCTACTTATTTGGGGTTTTTTTTTTGCAAAATTCGTTCTTGGCTCTCCTCTTCAGTGAAATTCATCTCTGAAGCTTCATCGTCCAACACTTCATTCATAAAGCTTATTCATTGGTCAAAAAATTGACTTTTCAATTTTTATTAGGAAAAAATTGCAACTCTTTCTGCTGTTAACGCTTGTTTAACTTTTGTTGAAACTAAAGGATAAGTATTTAATCACACAATGTAATGTAGTACTTATATGTAGTAAACAAGTTTTTACTTTAAATTGCTATTCTTGAAAAGTGCGAATTTTTACACAGAAAGGGAATATTTTTGAAAAATATACTTATTTTATAGCCTTAAAATTTTTATCACTCAAGCTAATAAAAACTCAAGCTTTATCACTCAAGCTTTTCAAAAAGTTTTTCAAAAAAATTGTTAGGCTAAAATTTACTCCAATTCTTATCGTCTTAAAATTTTTCTTGTTCCCCATGTGAATTTTAAAACGAAATAATCAAAACGTCAAAAAAATATTCCTATGAAATATTAATAACAATAAAATATCTGTGCAAAAACATTGTGGCTACTCAGGCGCGGATGTTTTTTAAAAAAATCCATTGAATATGGTTACTTTTAAAAGCTAAGAGATTTGGAAAACTACTATGTAATCCCATAAAATAATCAAAATAAAAAGTTCGAAAATAATGAAATGTACAGAAAAAAACATTTACAGCAATGGTAGATTCTCTAAGAAATGATCAAATAAAATTCACAGAAGAAAAAAACGTTATTCACACGGGAAAGCACTGTAGTCTGTGTAATACAATAACTACGCACAACAATAAAATTCCAATTCTCTAAATGCCAATATATATTTTCTTTTGAAAATTCTGTATAACTTTCAACTGCTCTACTATTTTAGACAAATAATTAATTACGGAAAAACACTCATAGAAGTTTGGGAATCTAAGAATTTTGTAATAAAATAACATTTTCCTGTTTTGATTCGAAGAATTTTGAGTTATCAGATATTAGAAAAATCAAATTGTTTGTTGATTCGAAGGAAGTAAAGATGTAATAAGATACCTAAGAACTATCTTACTTCTAATCTTACATCCCAATTATTTTACAATATAATTGCAGTTGAAACTGTATATTGGATTTTTGTTTGAAATCAAACTATTATTAGTTCATTTTAAAAGAATATCTCATATATATATATATGTATATATATTGTATATATGTATATATATGTATATATATATATATATGTATATATTGGTACAAGCTGGTACATCCGTTCTTCGCGCGGGTTAATTGAAAAATTAAACAAGACAGATTGAAGGATAAAGATTATTTTAATAAGTTAAGTTAACGTAAATTTCAAATTAAACAAATAAAAAGCTTTTTGCGTGTTTCAGCTGAAAATAAATACCATATTTGCAAACTTTAAGTCTGTAGATTTAATAGCTGATAAAAATGATTTTCTTTATTTATAACACCCCGCTACTCTCTTGTGGGTCGATTTTTGAAAATACCCTTCTACTAATCAGCAAAAGAAACACATTGTTACAAATTTTGGGTAATGAACGCTTAAAATAAAGTAAACAATTTATATCTGGATGTGTAATACGTTAATATTATTTTCTGTTGTATTTATTTCATGTTAAAATTGTAATATTTACAAGCAATGCCGCTCCTTACATTATAAGGGTGATTCAATAGAAATATAGCGAAATCGGAGCGATAGAGCCAAGTTGAAATACATAGCGTTGGGGGTAGGAAAATCAAGAGAAAATAGGGATTTTTCGATAGGGGGAAAAGGGATTTTTGTGTATAGGAAGAATCCTAAATGATTGCGTCGCAGGAAGAATCCTATATCATTGAACAGTAAGAATCCGAGAAGTAATGCTATAGTGCGAATATGTGAGGAAAGGAATAAAACTTGATATTTATTGATGCAACAAGGTTTCTATTAGTTTCTAAAGAAGCTTAAATGTATCATAATTTTCTAAATAATTGACTTTTAGGATGATTAAATTAAATTTTATGTTTATGTGGTTTGAAATAGTATTAGTTCTATTGTGAGAGATTTTGAAAGAAAATGTTTAAACATTTGATGCATTTTTGGAATGATATTTTTTCATTATCATACAAAATAAGCACAAATTGTGTGTAAATTCATCCCCAATAAATAAATTTTTGTTATAGTGTTTTTCACAGAAGTTTCTGTAACAGAACAATGGTCTTAAAAGTAATTAGTTAAAAAAAATGCTTCTTCACAAAGTTGCAATTAAAGCTTCTAACTTGCTTAAAAACTACATAAATTATCATTTGTAACAGTTCATAGCATAAAGTTCGTTATCTTTTTCTTTTTAAACATTGTATAATTAGTGTTCATATAAAATTTTAAATTTCTTGCATTTGTA